TTGGGTCGATGAAAAGGAACGCTGTGCTTCTCAGGTCTGTGGTCCTTCAAAGTGTTGGTGCAAACAGCAGCACAGAATGGACACGTTTCCCAGCAGCAGTTACACAGCTGATCAATCAGGATCTGATCAGGTTTGTGTCTGCAGTCATTCACCTTTTCCAGGGAGAGTTTGCTCATCTCTGTTGTGATGCTTTTCAGGCCTTTCTCTATCTCTTCTTTAAGGAAGTCAAAATTGTTTATGTCACTGAAGTTTTGACAACTAACAGTATCAAGTATCAACTTTGGTTTTAGTTTTCTAGAAAATTCCTCCACCCACATTTCTATGTTTCCTTTCTTCTTTTTGATTTTCTCTGTTGCCTCAAACAAAGCCTGACTGATGACTCTACTGATTTCTTCTACATTTTTTTTAAGGATATTCTGGGCTTTAACTTTCTGTGTCGTGAACATGTATTTCTTTACTTCTTCTTTGATGAAAGCCTCGACTTGAGCTCTTGGATTTCTGATATAGGTGGTGAATCTGTTAAATTCTTCTTTCTCTGCCAGAGATGTCAACACATGTTTCTCTAAGTTCAGTCTGTTCTCACTGAATGCTGGGAAATTGCACATCATCTGTCCAGCAATATCAACTCCAGTCTTGTTACAGACGGCTTCAACAGCAGAAACTTTGAGTTTTTCACACATAATTTCTCCAAACACCACAGCAGATGAACTTCCTTTGCAGAAGCTTCTGAAAATGTTGTAATACTCATTTTTCTTGTTGTCCAAATAAGTGAGAGCATCATTGTTGTCTCTGTAGATCTTGTGGGAGTTTAAAAGCCAAACTTCAGCCCTATCAAACACATACAGTGAAAGATCAACTGTAAACTCCTTCTTGAATGTAAATTTCTTCCCTGATTCAAACTCTGTCACTTTTTGTTTAACATTTTTGGCCAGTTCCTGCAAGTAGGTTGACCTGTAACCTCTTGTTGCAACAGGTTTGCTCTTAATGGCCTCAAGACATTCTTGTTCAACCTTATTTATGAATGATCTTATATGTTCCTGTTCTTTATGTGAAAAATCACCTATTTGTATTGTTGAATGTAAAACTCTCATATTCCTCTTTGCAGTTACGTAATGAGAATAAACTCCAGTATTTGATAGATTTTTGTATCTCTCACTTCTTTTTGACTCATCAATGAGTCCACGTTCAACACCAAGTTCTTGAAGGACAACTAGCTGATCTTTCTCCAAGTTTATGTTCTCGATGGGTTTTGTATCAGAGGTTAATTCCTTAACCCAGTGACTCCAAACATCGTTGAACTGTGCTTTTAGTTCCTCTTCATCATCAATGCATTTTAACTGGTGAGCGAGCTCTTTGCTCTTCTGGAGTAGATAGTTTTCAAACTCTGTCTTCTTCTTGTCAAGCATTTTTCTAGCATTATTTTGCTGGATTACTTCATCCAGTTTTCTCTTCACTCCTCTCACAAGTTCCTCATGAAACTCTTTGATTTTGTTCTCAAATTGGCCCCGCCACTGAACCAACATCTCTTTGTCTTTGTCATCTTCAAAGTAAGCTGCCATATGTTTTGTTACATCTTCATATGTTTTAGCCATTTCTTTGATTAGGTCGTTCTTTTCAACTTTGTCCAGTTGGCCTTTTTCAATGCTGGGATAAAGTTGGTTTTCAATATTCAGCATCTCACTCCTCAGGGCCCAAGTCCAGTTCCTGTACTGGACCTCCAGTTTTCTGTAAACTGCAATTTCTTGGGTGTTTTTGAAACTAAAAACAAAGTGTTCATTCATCAAGGCGTTCCACAGGTCTTGGATTTTGTTGTTGAAATGTGACAGAGTGATCCCAGTAGACTGTTTGGCTTTAGACAAGATGATGGACTTCAGTTCTTGGACACTCTCACTATAACCTGGATTTGGAGGAGCCATTGGTGGACTTCCCTCCCACAGCTGAGCAAAGTATTTCACATCTTTTTGCACATCAAATGCGATGACATCACTGAAGCACTCAACATCACACACTTCCTCTTTGGCAGCTAGTTGAGTCATCTTGTCCAGTTTTTCTTGCAGTCGTCTCTTTCCATCCATGTTTTTCTCTGCTGCTGTAATATCTGTGACGTTCTGATGGACAAACACACAACTTGGAGAAAGCTTGACTTTCTTCATCCTCATGAAAGCCTGCACAACAATCTGTAGGACATCCTGCATCTCAGCTGGATTCTCACCAAAGATGTTGATCAGTGTCATGTTTCCCAGACCAACAACAAATGTTGCAAGTTCATTGTCATGATGAAGGGTAGCATTACCTTCTAACTCAAGAGCTCGCAGTCCTTCAGTGTCCACAACTAGAATGTAGTCAAACTTGTAGTTGTCCTTGATTTCCTCTGATAGTTTAACCAGTTGCATGTAGGCACCCTTGGTGCATCTCCCAGCACTGACTGTAAACTGCAGGCCAAACATGGCGTTCAGCATCGTTGACTTTCCACTACTTTGTACATCCAGAACTGACAGCACAAAGACTCTCTGGTCACCCAGTTTGTTGATGACTTCTTTTAAGAGACTAGAGATCCATTTTAAAGGCACATGGCCTGCATCCCCATCCATCAGCTCCATCGGGTGTCCTGATATCATCAGATCTGCAGCCAGCTCAGGGTATTTAGTCCAATCAGGATGTCGGCTCAGTGATAGTTTCCTCAGAGTTTTATGAGCTTCATAGATCTGTCCCATTTCTCTGAAGATGTGTTCCAGACCAAAGGTTGCTGATTGCAGCTTTTCTGACAACTGTTCAAGCTCAGTTTGTTTGTCTTTTAATTGAGTAAATTTGTCATGTTTTTTCTTCAAGACCAAGACCTCTGACCAGGTTTTATCATATTTTTGGAGAATTGAAGAAAGATCATCTGTGGAGAGGGCATCTATGAGGATCTGAGCCCATGTCAGGAAATATTCTCTTTCTTCTGGTGGCAAACGCTTGAGGCTCTGAGTGAACAACCTCATCAGTTCACGATTGGACGCATCACACTGTTTCTGTCTTAGTTTCAGTAGCTGCTGACTCTTCTGACCCTTTTCTTTCTCAATGTCTCCCTTTAGATGATGCAACTCTTTATTGATTTTGCACCAGTTGGACCAAAGTTGACCTTGGCAGGGAAGAAATGTATCTTTGATTTTGGCAACGTCCATCCCTTCAA